GTAAATGAAATTTTAAAATCGGTTCATTAGTTTCGCCTATTCTTTGTTAACAATCAATCTAAAATATATAGCCTAACATATCCATAATATTAGTGTAACTGGATATAGCAACGATACATAAAAGACTTTACGCCCCCAAGTAGACCCTATGTTAGAAAATATTTACAATTAATTTAAAAGCTAATATAATTAAATTCACGCGCCCAAGAAACTCCACAAACTAACAATACTTGAAACCTCATATCCTGGTCACGGCACCATTTGTAACGGTACCCCCCTTCCCTCTATATATATTTATTTTTCTTTAATAATATTTTGATATAAAATATTAATAAATAATAAATTCTATGCGCGGTCTAATAAGACCTTCTAAGAAGAATATTTTGTATTGGCAGTGATCGTCTAATAGGACCTACGTTGTGTTGTGTGTAGTAACCCTGGTTCTTTTTTGTAGGCGATTGTTAGCAGTAAGAGAATATGTTATTGAGGGCATGTAAAAGAATTACCTACCTACTAAATAAATTCGATTAACCTAACACTAATAAGTCCCTAAGTACCTTGTGAAGTATAGAACCATAAGATTTTAGTAAGAGAAAGTAATGACACTTGAGCATAATAACACTGGTTACATTACATTATAATAGAAATGTCATATTTAACATAGAAAGGAAATATTTAATAAGAGTCAAATGAAAGGACGGAAGGAATAAGGTATTAGGACTAAGATTAGAAAGTAAAAGTATAATTAAATCCAAGGAGAAGGATGTTGTGAAAATATATACACATTATTTGTGTTGAAGGTGCTTTCAGGCCCCGACCACGCCCTCAGCTTGAGACCCACCATCACGGCCCCTTAACCAAAGAAAGAAATGGTAAGGAGTTAGGAGGAGTCAACCCAGCACTAAACTCATAATAAAATTAATTATAGACGTTACATTTACATCCAATGTAACTAGCATGATTCATTATGGTGTATGATCGGGCACACATTCATTGTTCACAGTAGGGTTGTAGACACCATGAAGGCCTTGGCCAAACATAGTAAAAATGCGAAACGACACACACAGCAACCGGGGAACTACACAGGAACTCAACTGGTCCTCCACCCAATGTAGATCGCTACAGGGCTTCAAGGGAGCAAGTCTACCGCCATGCATAGACGCCGATATACTGAGTGGAAATAAGTCCCTAATGGCATAATGGTAAGCCAGTATAACTGACGACCGCCATCCTAACAATATATGAGCCGACTGTCGACCAACAAACGGAGCCGACCATAACCCACATGTATCAGCAGCCAAACTGGAGGCATTTGTTATTTCAATATAAATCATAATTATAAGAATTACCATTGTTATCGAACTAGGCAACTCAGGAAAGGTAGTGGTGTGTTGTAGGGTGACATATGTCATGACCTACGATGAATATTTGTAGAGTTTGCAGTATTTAGCTCGCCAGCTGAAGTACTTGTAAATATTTATGCAATGCGCATATAATTTATTAAGTATGCTGTTATATGTTCAGCAGAAGTCTCTCATATAATGAAGAGATTATTATTATTTGTAATATATTGTTTGGTTATTTAACCAAAATATAGAAATGTATGTTAGCGTTACCAGCATTATTAAGCTAGGCAACACAATAAGGTAGCGTAATAGTGTAGGACAGACATGCGTCATGGCCTATGTTGGACATTTATAAGATTGCAGTATTTTGCTCGCCAGCATGATGAATCTTGAAGATTTATGCATTGCGCATATAATTTATTTATTAAGCTGTATATAAATTCAGCTGTTATAAGTCTCTCATAAAATGAGGAATTTATTGTTATTATTATTTATTAAAATGTTGTATGGTAAAATAACCATATTTCTTTTAGTGAAGAATATATATAATTTCTGAAATATCACCAGTGTTATTAAAGTAGCCAACTGAAGAAACGTAGAGTAATGTATGTAGGACAGACACAAGTCATGACCTATATCTAACATGTATCTGAGAATGATCTCAACTAATGTATCTGTTCTATGCATATAGTCTATGAAATAGCCGTCGTATGTCCGGGTAAAGTCTCTCCCAAAATGAGGCTGTTATATTAATTTAGATATAAAATCTTGTATAATGTATACGTAAACTATGCACTGTATAATAATAATATTACTAGGCCTACTCCGTTTTGCCCTGTTTGTCGTTAATTCTCACCATTTAGGTATAGTTAGCTATCCCTTAAATATAACATTAATATCGTATATAATATTTAAATGTATACCGCTCATATTGACCATCTTAAAGTCGTTAATACAGTCTAATATATCTTTAACTTGTCTTTATCACTTTACTCTAAATATTATTTTTACTTTTTAATATTACAGAATGCAATATAACACAATCCTAGCAAATCTAATTTATTCCTAACAACCTGATGAGACCCTAGCGTCCCTAACACCCACTTACTTGCGGTTCAAGGCGGAGGCCTTGAACCCGAGTCCAACGGAGGATTTTAATTCCTATCTTACCCTAAATGTAGAGTTTTCAACCGCACTAACTCTACCATTGACAAATTCTAATAGACACACTGACTCTAATTATCATAAAGCACTGACTTTGATAAGCCCGCGTCGAACTGGTACGGTATACTTAAGGTTTAATAAAGATTTTTATAATTCGTGATGTAACCTACGTATATATTCGCACCGCACTAATATATAGTAAGGGATTCGCCCTCCTTCTAAGCAATTCAGACCTGCCTATCAAATCTCGCGACGCACTGATCTGATAGCAAGACTACGACAACTCTAAGAATTGCATCAACTATCTCGTAAAGCTTGTGACGAACCCTCAGAAAGCCCGAGTTCTGATTCCGCTCTCGACCTTCCCCAGATTCCCTTCAACTCCCGAAAACTCTCAACGAACCGACAGAATCCCGAGTTACGATCCTGTTCCCGGTCTCCACCGGACTCTCCCCGACTGTCCCTCAACTTCCTTTTTCACCTCTTTTAAAACATCTGCTACCCCCGTAACATTTCTCACACCACGCCTATTTCTATTATCTTATGGTAACTATCCCAATTGACATACAAAATTATTCCTTAGGACTAAACCAATATGAACACTAATACGAATTGCTTCCTTGTTCATCTCCTTTGCGTCTACTAGAATAAGGCTCCACCCATGCGTAAGCGCAACGCCCACTGATATCCCAAATTCACAAATGTTTAGCGCTTAATATTGATCATTATACCTTATCTCCCTGCTATTAGGGATCATTTTGAAACAATAATACTTTATTATTAATTATCTAAAATACCCTAGCATCTGGAAGCAATAGTTTTGACCTTTTGTCTTTATTGTTATTTTTTTGTATAAAATAGCTATATTGTCCTAAGGGACCAGGACACAATATCTGTCATCATATTTTAACCTTTTAAATGGCAAAATGATGTCCGACTTTAAATAGTTTTATTTTGGTCAAGAGCACATGTGCACACGAATTTCTACGAATATTTCTTTAAGAACAGCAAGATTAATGTTACTTTATTGTCTTTCGGCCTTACTATTGAATTTAAGACATTGCAGGCAACCAATAAATCAAGGAGGTATTTTAATACCTTCACTTATTTCTTCATAAAACCAATTCTTTACAGAACATTCCACTGATTTAAGTTGTCAAGCGTCCCACGCCTGCACCCTCAACATGTGTCTCAACATTGTAGTAATTTAAGGCAATCAGTACTACCTGCCCTCGATGACCCTATGTCAAACCCTGGCCCGAGCAATCACAAAAACTAAAATAATGATTTCTTCTAAGAACACATTTTGAAACACCATAACCCACTTGATAATTCTCACCCTTACATGTCACTTATAATCAAATATATTGCTAATTTTGATAGTTTCTAAGTGTCCGTTTCTTCTAAAACCCCACTTTAAAATCCATAATTTACTTGACATGACAGGCTTTTTAGCTCCAAATGTTACCTATTCAAAAATGTGTTATTTATCCAAGTCAATTTCTACATGTAACGAAATATTTGAAGTCGTGATTCTTTCCCGGAATCCACCTTTAAAATCCCATCCAGCACGACAATTTATTAGGCTAAAATTATTAATAAATAATCATGCATTTTGCTTTATTTATCGAATTATTGTGGTGTGTTCCGTCACAAGTGTAACAATGATTGTTTGTATAAAATACCTTGAAAACAATGATAAAAATAATAATTCTTTACCAAAAGAAAAAATAAACATAGCTTCTAAAGGTATCTGTGAAGTAGTTCGGTTTAGCTTAGCAAAGGAAACTACAAACACCAACACTGTGGAAACTCCGCTCGTTACAGGATACAAAAATACAGAAGAATCTACAAGTGGTCTACCGACATACAGTGGCCACGTGGTCTACAAACTGGCGACAGAAAGGGACAAAGATATAGACAACGAAGATGAAGAAGAGAGCCAAGGAGGCAATGCACTACTACAATCACAACATTGAGATAGGAGCGGAGGGAAGCTGTGACTTGAAATGGTATAGAACTGTAGGTCCAATATTTTTCCATTGCCAATTGTTTGCGTTATTATCTTTATTGATTAATAAATTATTATAATTATAAGTTTTAATAAACTTTAGACAATTATTTGAAAACCAAATTATAGAAGGAAGTCGGATATTACACTTTTTCATTATCACATTGTAGACACACAGAACACAGAAAGATTTTGAAACAGCTATCACTGTATATTCGAGAGTGATTAGTGTTGTACGTTTAACATTATTTTTTCACATTAATAAATCATTCCTCACGCGTACCAGTTATTGTGTCTAACATGGGTCAGTCAAATAAAAGCAAATCGGAATTTAAATAGTACAATTACTCATGTCATAGGGAAGATCCATGGCCTTTCGTATCCTTGTGTTCTGTGGGTTTATCGCGTCAACAACCCAAGATATCGAGTGGAAAATTTAGTCAGGTCCCATCTATACCGTTTCTGGAGTCGCGACTGACCTTTGCGGGGCGGCGGGGGCGGGCTGGCGGCGGGCGACGTGTCAGAGAGCGCCTCCACGTCTATGAGCGGGCTGGGGGCGCGCCGCCACGCGGTCTCGCCTGGGGAACACGCCCGCTCAATATCCGTCCGTCCCAACCCTATACCTATACCACCTAACTCGAACTCTGCTTCCTCAGAACGGAATTTCGTCGGGCAAAGTGGGACTTTTCCAAATATAGAATTTTTGCGTTCACCGATGTCAAAGTGATCGTCTTTTTTTTTAATGTCAGTGCAGAATAAAGGAATTCTTGCGTAATGATACTCACTTGGAAATGAAATGAGTTCCCCTATAATAGTCTGGTTAAGCTTATTAAAATTTCAGAACACTGTAGGTAATCGAGACTTAGTTGTTATTATAATGCATTTACATTCTAACATTAAAAACAACAAACGTGAGAACTCATTTCATAAGTACCACGAGATGAAACTGAAATACAAGAAATGTTCCAAAACCCGACAGAGTGATTGCAGCGAACGAAATCCAATGTTAGATCACTCGATAATCTTAAGGCGCAGTGCCGATATAAATAAATAATCATTAGCAAATGAAAACTGAACTGTGTATCGAGTGAAATCTCTTTAAAGGACTTACAGAGAGCCAAGTCCATTCGACGTCCGATCTTTGAATCACCGAGACTGTCTTCTGATGTATCAGAGTCGAGCGGTAACGACATACTTCTTTCCCATCTGAAATAGTATATGGAATCGTAAGTAACTACTGATAACATGATAGTGATTTTCGGTGCTGATCTTGAACGATTCAGGCCCAAATATTTGCCAAAAGCATTTCCTTGGGATTGCTCTAAGCTTTCGGAATGTGATACATGTATATAATCTTAACAATAAATATCAGTCACACATGTTATTTTGCCTTATCCCATTATACTATTCATTTTAGATATTATACTGTTAATAAAATAACAGTTTATTTTCTAGATAAGATGTGTCAATTGATAAAAAAGCTACTGAGGGGATTTTTGTTAATTATTTACATTATCATTAAAATCTTTTTACCTCGCTGAGCTGCCATCAGACTTATCAATAGCAGAACTGGATCTGAATGCATCAGCCATATTTATTCCACTATCTATCGATGGCCTCTTCACCAAGTTGCTTTCGAGGCTACCAGCTCTTCCTTTCTGCGATAAACTGAAATAAAATAAAAATAAATAGTTTTTATTCATATGCATCGAAATCATTTCTTCTAACATTAACATTTCTTCCCCTAATTAATCTTAACATACCGATAAACCGATGATGGTGGTATAGCAATACACCAGAACTAAACACAGTAAACTTCTATTAATAGCGTTGTGTACATTTTAAATTATCAATCTGTATGCATTTAATTAGGTTAAAATATCGCAATAATATCAAACCATTTCTTGGTTTTTTTAATTTCTTTGTTGGTAGGTATAAGAAAACTAAGGGTAGATATTTTTTTTATTTTCGCTTCCTCGACCTCGAATATTGTCCACGCTTTCATTACTGCACAGGCTATAAGTACTTAGTTACTTCGCCCGCAAACTAACCTGTGCGGCCGCAAGAAGACGCCATCTTTCGGCGGTGGATGTATCCTGTCGAGGAGCGCCGCCAGGTGGCTGTGTCCGGCGCGGCGCGCGGCGGCGGCGGCGTGGCGCGCGCCCGCCTCGCAGCGGGTGCCCGCGCTCCACCGCGCCAACACCACCGCTGTCTCCACGTGCCCGGCGGCGCTCGCTACCATCTACAATACAAATTACATATAGACGGTGCTCGTTCATAAAAAAAAGAGCTCGACTTACAGATTGATTGATGAAAATTCTGAAAAATTTCTGTTGACTGGTAGAGAATGCCCCATGGCATTACGTCCACCATTTGTACATTTTAATATGTGTAATAAAGCTTAAATAAATAAATTTCCACAAAGGCGGGTGGGTCGTGGGAGGATCAAATATTTCCTACCTCTTTAATACTTTTATGTTCGTTGCGGACGTTAACACTCGCCGAACTAAATTAGATGGTGGGTTATGGTTTTCCCTATTCGATTTCATTCGTAGTGAAGACATGCGATGATGATAGGTACCACGGACGTTAAATGCTGGCCTTGAATGCGCCGAAATTAAAATTTTGATACATTTTAAAGAAAATCGCAAAAGTGGTGGCCATACTCATTAATTTTGATAATCTCATTTCTGATCTGATCTGATCTGCTCTCCTTCAAAGAAAAGGATCAGTGGTATTATTTTTTTTATTTTAATATAATAGTGATTCTTTTAAAATTATATAAGAAAAACAAAAGAATATTATTTGTAGTACTACATATTTCCTTACCAACGGAGTACAATTTTCGCTGTCTCTCGCTCCCAAGTTCACCTCCTTCTCCAATGCCAAGCTGCTATCATCCTGTTTCCACCTTAACAGCACTGTAGTCAGCTTCGTATACCCCAAGGCTGCAGTTAAGTGCAGAATGGTAGACCCTTCTTCCCCAGGCTCAGTAGTGAAACCTTCAGACATCCCAGTGGACCGCAAACTAAGTGATCGGCAAAAAGTAACAAGCCTCTCTTCAAATTTTGGATTAGAGTAAAGCTGAACATCTTCGATCTGAAAATTGAAAACACATTTACATATTTAGCCCCGAGTATACAATCTACGTTCAATCATAGATCAAACAAAACAATTCACCTGGTTGTTATCATCCATTGGTTCACTCTTGATTTGCAATCGACCATGTAATCTTTGCAATCGCTGCAGTAAAGTGAAGCGTCTAAAATCTAGAGAAGGCAGTGGAGCTGATGCTGGCGAAGAAGGAACTGCCGTTGGACCAGCTTTATACTCGAAGACAACAGTGTCAGAGACTACACGACCACCTCGGGCTACTTGAAGTGCCGCTAAGCCTGCCTCATGCGCTGAAATCATCAAATCATTTATCTAAATCATACCTATAAAATAAGTCTAATAAGAATATAAATACCCTACAAGGAATATAGTGCTTTGGGGTAATCACGAAAGCAGGGAAATTCCAAAAATGACGAAATACCACCAAATCAGGTATTGTTTTTCATCAACTGTTAATAAAGTTGGCAATTAAAAAATATTTTAATATGTAAATAGAACAAACAAATTGATTGTTTATTATCATTATCCCAAAGCACCTGACAGCATGAATTATAGATGTATTATATAATATAGAATAAAAAATTTGAAACTTGTTAAAAGTGTGATCATACCTGGACAATAACATCTCAACAGCCCATTCTGTACCAATATGGACGGCACCGGAAAATTATCAAACAATACTGTGTACTGATCCGAGGTCTCAGTCCAAGGTCCCGCTATTAAGACTTTTGCACCACCCTCTGGATAAGCCCATTCAGGTGAATAGTCTGTTATACTGAGCGCCCCCTCATTACTATCAGTTTGCATTTTTTCGTTGTTCTCTTCCGCTGGAGGTGATTTGCCGTGGGATTGCTGGAAATAGGCAAAATGATTAAGTATGAAATGCTGTACAGAGTATTTTCCATTAACTCTATTTTAAATAAAATTATTTTATCGACTTCAGTGGCCCTTTACAAAGTATGTGATATCTAAGGTTCGATTCCCGGTCACTTTAATGTACAAAATATACTTTATATATCGTCGCGGGTCTGGGTGCTAAAATACTTTGTAGTTTATATAGTGACTATCCAAATAATACTCACAATAACATGTGTTGATAAAGAGCTTGGGTCTAACACTTCCAATTCAGGGAAATCTCCCAACATATCAAAAGCATCTAGATTCACGAACACATTATCATCTACAACATGCGTAGGTGACGCTACTGCTTCACAACTTTCTATAAAGTCCATAGTATCAATTCCCGATACCATAACATTTGCTGTTTCTGACGATCTAACACCACTTCTATCTAAGCCACAAGGCATATTAGCTGATAAGGTCTTCTGAATATCCTCGTGTGACAATTCCAAAGTTTCATCAAAAAATCCACTAGACCCTAAATGACCATCTGTACCAAGTAATACTAACGTATCATCACAGTTATCTGTCAAAACTTTACTTTCTAAGCGTTCTACTAAATCTGGATATCGAGAAGGCGTTGCAGGAGCACTCGCTATCATTTGATTTCTACTTTTCGGTTCTATTTTAATTTTCTTATCAAAACTTTCTATCTCTATTTTTTCCTCCACATGACTTTCTACTTCATAAGAATCTGAATTGCGAAGACATGATGAAGGCTGATTATCAGGTATCTCTCGCTTTAGCACAAAAGTTGGTTTGTATTGCTGTCTATACCTATCCCTTGGCTCTTCGCATACGAATGAAGTCACTGATAGTGGTGATACTAAAGACGAATGCTGTTGAGCTGTATTACTAGTGCCATTAAGGATAAGAAGACCACCTCCTCCTTGGATTTGTCCAAGGGATAAAAGTAATGGTGATGCTGACTGGGGTGATGGTCTGTGGTCTCTGGTATACTGCCTTGGTGGTTGCGTCATTGGTCTAGGCGAAGGCCCAGTTGTTGAAGACACGTGGTGGTCTGAAGGAGGAGGTTTCGCGGCTTGAATACGTCGCAATGGATGAGCGCATGTTCTTGAATCCTGACAAGTGGAATCTGGGCAACCACATTCCAATTGACGTGCCAATGCTGCAGCTCGTGCAGCACGTTGTTTCTCCATGAGCTGACCTACAATTGCTTCCACCGTTTCTGCCGTCTGAAACATTTTGCCCTGACATTTTATTAACATACATCTGTTCTAAAATAATATATAATTTTGACGAATTAATAGTTTAACTTACTGATATTTCCAATTCATTGTTGATGTCTGGTTCATCTTCACTGAAGACTGAAATAAGTAAAAAATATTCCAATAAATATATTACTGGAGTTTAATGCTGCAACATACAAAACACTATAGTTTCAAAAATTAAATTAATAAAATCGAAACTTGCAGTCATTAATGAAATAATTATCGGTATTTACGATAATATAGGATTAATACTGCATAATGAAATTTAATTTAACTGCTGATTTCATAAATATTCATCAGAGGGTGCGGAACTTTCCGTGTTTTGCTTTAATTTTCACTGTTTTACATTTATGAAGTTTTGAAAGTGGGATCTTTGATTATGGTCTTGGTATCCTGTCATGCTTATGTAAATTTATGTAAATCTAATAGGTCTAGCTGATTACATAATTAATGTTGTAATTCTATATTCATAGAGTCTGATTTTCGACTCTTTGCGGGTTCTGTTTTAATAAATATTTTAATTATTGATTTTCTAGATAGCAAAAATATTCAGTTGTCCTTTTTTGTTACTAACACCTGAGCAAATTCTCAACGCTCTTTGAATACTAATTCCTCTTCAATATGCTTTTTTTGACAAAGAAATTTCGTAAAATACGTTTCAATTTATTTCTCATGTAATTGTATAAAAATAAATATGCATTTCGAAGAATCAGCAGTATTCAAAATTACTATGTCAACCTAGTCTTTTTTTTTTTTATTTCATTCTATTTTTGCGCATGTCGTAATAATCTGAAAGGCATATATTCAACTATGCATGATACTTGTTATTCCTTTAAATTATAAAAAATGTTAAAACTTTAATTTTTGTCTCACCGAATTTCAAACTTAGACTATGAATAACTTACTGTTTGAAAAATTATTGTTTTTGTGTTTTTTTTTTCTCTTTTATTCTTTGTGGTTATTATTGAACTTATATTATAAGAACTGTTACTTTGTTGTTTGATATTGCTTCCAATTTTGGATTCTTACTATTTGTATTGAAACATATTTATTCAGTCTAATTATAATATAACGACATTCACGAGAACTTGTGAACAAAGTCACCAAGGGCTGATTTTATGAAATCGATTATAACTACAAAAATATATACTTTTCATGAAATTGTATATCTACTACTCACACATTGGCTTCAGTTGGCTGACCAGTTCATCCTTGGTCCATTCTTTCTTATCCGCCCACAATGCCAGACTGGGCGCCACCGTCGCTAGTTTGTTGTCATCTGGATAGGGTACGTTCAGATAATGCACGAGGACTATGTCTGGATTCTGAAAAAAATCATTGCTACTATAAATTTGGATAAAATATTTGACAACATTACGTATCTACATTACTGAGATGCCAAGTAGTCAAAAATCGTTCCGTTGTGGAAATCTGAAACAACTTAGGAACTGAAACCACCCAGAATGGAAAAAATATCACATAAATCATTTCTATTATTTATGATACCAATTGATATAATAATAAATGATAGAGTTAATAAATAATCCTACTATTTTTATCATACTATGTTCAAATTAATAAAAATAAGTTTTCTGTTGCTTGTACGGGGATAAAATGCAAATAACACTCCATAAATAATTTTATAGTTGTTTCATTTTTATTGTTTTAGTTCAAATGTTAGCATATCTATAGAAAGTAAAAGAGGATAAATTTAGTAACACTAAAATGTATGTTATACGCTGATACATCAAATGTATAAATCATGCTCAATCAATATGTCTGAATCTCATAAATGAAGACACGAAAAACCGGGCTGTGAATCGTGATTGGGTATATTGTCTTGGATCTGGGTCTTAGAATGCCTTTGTTGTTTCAGATATTCCATAATACCCCTTTCACTACCTTGTAATATTTTTGATATTCTTATGTTATAATTCGAAAAATCGTTAAGTCACACTACAATATTAACTATTACAGTAAACTATTAGCCTTATTCAAAAACGAAAGAGCAATTAAACACAAATCACCGCCACCATGAATAAGGCGGCAGTTTGCCCGAACCAAAAAAAAAGAGAGAAAACTTGGAACCAGATACATCTTAAGTTCAGTGACGTGTGAAAATTTACAGCACAATTCATTATTTGAAGAATGTGGAATAACGAGAATACCTAAAGCTCATAAAAACTAAAAAGGAAACGAAGGGACGACGGGTAACAACGTAGAGCACTTAGCTCAGACCTAGGGCTAGCTCCAACACTTTTCGCGTGACAAAAACGAGACTCTCGAACTAATTTCGTCTTTCTTTGTGTCTCTTTATGTTGTATTATTATGCTCTTTGGTTATGGTTATTAGAGGACTATTATTCATATAGTACTGGGAGCATGTTATTAATATACATGTCTTTTATGGTATATGCAAAATTGTAACGTTGAGCCTAGAAAAAAGTCGTATTAAATATTGCATTGATATCAGTACCACCCATTGTTTATGCATTAATAAGCTCATAAATCTATTAAATACTTGCAGTGTTATTAATAAAGAAGGTTTAGCGTTGGAATAAATTTACACTAAGATTGCATTTAGTATTAGTCAAAATTCATATTACTAAACAGAGAATTAGCAAAGGTTAGTATACTATGAATTTGAAGTAATACTAAAATTGCAATTTTAGCGTACATTTACTCTGACGCTAAACCTTGTTTATTAATAGTACTGTTACGGCATTACGTTATCTTGTAGGAAATATTTTAAAATATTCTTCACTTAGTTATTAATGAAATATAGAATTGAAAGTGTTATATATATAAAAAAATATATATTTGATGAATAAAATAAAATAAATGCTTTTGTAGTTAATTGCAATTATTAAATAAAAATCAAATGACAACCCTAACAGTAACCAGCACTAAATCGACTCGAGCGCAGTTAAACTACATATAAAATAAGTAATACACAATATTTTAATTTCCGACGCGAAGAGAGAATGTAAAACGGAGTGCAACGTAATAACTATCCATTTGTCTTCAAAATGGTGGCAATAAACATGGCTCCATTATTTATGTAATGGCCGCCGCAGGGTTGTCTCTCGCACGTGTGTTTTATTATTGTGGTGGTTTTTCATTAAGTCGAATTTAAAATTCCCGCATGAATTCCTAAAATATCAAAATAAATTGTCATCAAAAGCCTATCAATGCTCCCTATACCTATCCAATCGAACTAAATAAGATAGGGCCTTAACATGCCACGTGGGTTCAGTGCGGATTGATGTATGATACCGACTGTAGATGCAGGTCAAGCCTTCCGAAGCACGAAGGACCCCGAGATAATAAAATTCAAAAGTTGGTTAACTTCCGCATCGCAGACCTAACATGCTAACCACTGTGCCATTAAACTGAATAAGGAGTGTGCGTTTTGCATACTCATTATTTATATTTTCAACAAATAGATATTTATATCCAATGACCACTCGGCCTACTTATAGATCTTAATAAAAGAAATGTAATGTCAACTTAAAATAATTTACGATCCGTTTTATTGCCGAAACTCCATTACCGGTAAAAAGGAAAATTTATTGAACATTTAGTTACAAAGTACTGAAGGGTATTTTAACTAAATGGTAAATGCTCTAGGGTCCAATAAAACAGTAAAGAGTTTATATTTTAACTAATAAAACCTACCTATATACAACTTGAATCATGTTAAAATATGTCTGCAGACTATCGGCCATCTTTCATTCATTTCATTTTCATTTTACATGTAGAAATTAATTTATTCACTTAACGTTGGTAGAATTGTGCGAAATGTGCGCAGATAAGCCATTAATAAAAAAAAAAGTAGAAAGAAGCAGCAACATAAAAACGATCTAAGAATAGATAGACCACAGTTAGACCCAGAAGCGACATAAAAAGAATTCTGCCTATTATTTATATCCATGCTAATACTATAATTGCGAAAGTAACTCTGTGTGTTACGTTTTCACGCCTAAACTACAGAATCAATTTTAATGAAATTTGGTACATAATTTTTGACCTATAAAAAGAAGTAATAGGAGATAAAAATTAAATTAATGCGGCGAAGCCGCGGATACACAGCTAGTACCATATAAATCGCTAAAGTCTTATAACATTCTAACTTGCTCTTTATGCTGAGGACAAAACCCTGTAGCTATTTGACGCAATATTATTAATTACTTTTCAAAATGGAAGTCTATATTTTTCTCTAAAATTTAAGACTTTTAATCCGTCTAAAAAAGTAGGCAACAAGAAAGAAAAAAGACTACGGCAAAAGACAGCAATTAATTATATGTAAATGTGTATTTCATATTACTATAGAAGTTATTAACCGAAAAATCGAAAAGGAGCAAATTATATGTTCAACGGCAATGTATGTTTTTTTGTACGCTATCTTCATCCTTATCAACGTTAACAGCATTGTTATTCTTTTCAAAATACAGCGTCATACACAGCGCTGCGGACACATCGCTGCCGCAACATTAGCGGTTCAATATAATAACACTTTAATTAATTTGAATATAATAGCATTACAGTGCCACTCTAACTAATAAATGATAAATAATTTTGGGAGAAAGATACGTCATAATGATCAAACCTATTCAATTTATTTGTATTGCTATTAAAACCAATAATATTCCATATGAAATAGTGCCATGACATATTTTCATGATATATGTATTCCAATTGCTAATTACCATACTATGTTAAAGTAATCTACAATTAGATTAACTAGGTTCTCATTCTATTTTCACTGCTTACTGCAACTATAGATATAACCGCATTAAAGTTTATATAAAGACTAGCTTTTGCCCGCGACTTCGTCCACGTGGTAAAGTTACTTTGTGCAGCATTTCTAACGAATTTATTCATTATATCGTGTAAAATACCTGAAATAAAGTTCCATCCTCTATCTTATCCCCTTAGGGCTGGAATTTATCAAAATCCTTTCTTAGGGGATGCCTACGTTATAGTAGCTTTATGCATACATAGTCTCAGCCCCAACGGTTTAAAATTGACAAAATCTTATACAAACTTTCATCCCCTATTTTATCCCCTTGGAGGTAGAATTGATCAAAATCCTTTCTTAGCGGATGCCTACGTCCTAACATCTACCTGCATGCCAAATTTGAACCCGATCCGTCCAATGGTTTGGGTTGTGCGTTGATGGATCACTACGTCAGTACTACCTTTGAGTTATATGTTAGAATGTTATTTAGCGATTACAAGCTTTCCATCCACGGCTTCGTCCGCATGAATTTAATTTTCATCTCCTATTTCTTCTTTATATAGTTCAAAAATTATATATATAGACTAGCTGCTTTCTCGCGACTTCGGCCTTGTATTTACTTGGCTATGTCATATGAAAGCATTATTAAATCAATTTACTAGTTTCGTAACATATTCCAATGCAAATAAACAATCAAATCTTTCCTCTTTATATAGTATTAATGTTAATATAGATAATTTGCAAACAGTGCAATATAGTATCTTTAATCTTCTATACATATCATAAGCGTGAGTTGCAGAGTTACGCCAAGAGTTATTAAGTGATCATGGCGCAATCAGATATCAATCAAGTAGATAACTGTTATTCAATAATTTAATAAGCTTTGGACGAATAAAACAATAACAGAAATCTAATTAAATACCTTTTTATTCTGCCTAAGGTTTTTATAAAGAAATATCAAAGATTATTATATTATAAAAGGAGGAAGATCTTGAAACTTCTAAAGATCTGTTCAAAGAAATAAAGCCTTAAGCGAATGTTAAAAAATACTTAAAAAAGTTAACTCTGTAAATTATAGCAAAAGTTTTTACATTAATAATTTTAAAGTGGCTTTATTCCAACGGTACGGAGGTCTCCTTAACTAGGACTGACTTGTACCTGAACAATGTGAGATATTTGAGATATCGGATGGGTATAGTGAAGGTCCGTAGTGTCCCCGAAAACATATCAGATATTCCTTTAGAGGTGTACTCTTAGGTAAATCAATAAAAAAGATAGTAGAAAGACATACAATTAAACCGGCTTCACCGGCTTTTTTTTTGGTGATTGTTTGTTGTGTTTGAGTTTTTTCTGTTACCCATTTTCAATAGATATTTTTGGAGACAGGATTGATTATTTAATTTGTTATAAGGAGTCTATCATCTAAGTTTTTAAAAGCATTTCTGGAAAACAGAAACCAATTAATGACATTAACTAGAACAGTCAAGTTTAATCTGCCATAGATAATGTTGTACTGAATTCTGTTTGATAATTTAACGAACAATTGACACCAGGTTTACTCATAACACACAGCAATCAGAAATTCAATTACAGTCGGCATTTCGTCCGATGGCATTTCGAAATATTGTCCGTTATGGCTGGCGATATAATAATCTCTAAATGGATGCTACTTCCTGGAAACGTTTCCAATCGCAGGCCGTTTCTGATTGGGTCTTCGCGTAACTACACTCAAATCGATTATCTCAACATCGGATTGAATCAAACACACTCAATGTTGAATGGTGTATTGAACATTGAGTTCGTTTGATTGAACTGGATGTATTGAACGCAGAATACAGTATTGAACTTTGTGTGCAATTTGATTCAATCTAATTTCTAGACTAGACAGTTGAAATTTTCACAGATGATGTATTTATGTTATCGTTATACAACAATTACAACTAAAAACATAATAAAATAAAAATTAAGGGGAGCTCTCATATAACAAATGCGCTTTTTGCGTTTTTTATGTGTATTTATAATAATAATAATTATTCGTTATTGCGCAATAGAAAAAAAAGATATAAACAAAAAGCTTACACAAATGTTATACAATGGGAGGCCTTATTGCTTTCTAGCAATTTTTTAAATGTAAAACTAAGTTAATTTAATGTAATCAATACACGTATTTCTACTATTGTTTATTAATGTACTATCTGTCTATGTAAATCACTTCAACATTTTGAATAATTTCGAAACTTGTTTCGCGAAATATTATTTCTTGTATTTTAAGTTTAGAAAGACGTCTTGTCGTTGAAATCTGTAGGGTATAAAAATGTATTGTACTCCACCTGGTACATGGAACCGGAGATAGAATATCGATTTCTAATCCTAAACACATAAAAATCGGCCAAGTATGAGTCGTATTCGCGCACGAAGTGTTCCGTACAAGAAAAGAGCAAAAATAATAACTGAAAGCCCTCCTTGAATATTTTATTAATTTTAATTTAATTATTTATTTTTACTATACTATATAAATACTATATACTATAATACTATATACTATACTATAATACTATATATTACTATATAAATACATAATCTGAAAATTATTTAAGCATCTGTGGTCGTTATCAATATCGAGCAAGAGCGAGCAAAAAAAAACATGTTTGTTGTATGTCCCCTTAAATATTTATTTATTCTGGTTCTTAATATTTTTAAGCGGCAATAGAAATATATCATCTGTGAAAATTTCAACTTTCTTAGTTTCACGGGTCATGAGATACAGCCTGGTGACAGGTTCCCGTTTTACCCTTTAGGTAGGGAACCCTAAAAATTAAATTAACGCATATATCATTGTAATAACGCAAAACAAACTGAAAAATCTTAGTAATAGGGTTCCCGTTTTACCCTTTAGGTATGGAACCCTAAAAATTAAATTAACGCATATATGATTGTTATAACGCATATACTCTTTTGCATGCTACTGTATTTATTTTAAATATTCTTTCGCCAATATAAAGCAACAGCATTATTAAGTAATAGATATATTAATTAATTATTCGATCAATTTCAAGTTCACAATGCTATAATGTAATCCATTATTTCTAAGATACATTTTATAATTTCGAAATTCATTAGTCACAGATGCCCGAGATGGATACCATCCGGATACTGATGATTTTTCAAGTATTTGTCCTTATGATAAAATATTTGATTAATTATATTACAATATGCAATAAAAGAACGAAGTAAGATCTTGAAACAAAAAATAAAACTCAGAAATATTTAAACAATTTCATTGAAATCAAATAATAAAAAAAACGTGAGTTCAAACTACGAAGGATTATAATCTGTTACTGAGTCTCTACTACTATACAATTAATTCCACAATCCGCCATCCAACAGTCAGAACAGAAGCAATTAAATATTAAACTTTAATTCCCTTTCAGCCGCTCTAGAGGTAAATCGCATAGAGAAATGTATTATTATCATTTTAATTGCTGTTCTAATATTGTTTATAATTATAAATGTTATAAAATTCAATACCAAGATAAGTAATGGAATTAATAACGATTCTTATTAATTTCATTTGCATGCTTATAATTAGCACGGTATATGCTAAAATGCTAATTTGAATACATTAGCATTGGTCTATTAAACTTCAAATCTATCCAGAACTACACGAAGATTAGACGTGTTTCATTATAAATTACTCATTGGTGAAGAATATTAATATTCTTCTAATTATTTTCCCGCGCCTTCACTCACGAAAGCTTATGTCACCCGCGTATGATAAAGCTTCATAAGTGAAGTATTTTTTAAAATATGTCCAGTGGCTTCATAGCGTAATCAGTGCAAACGAACAAACAATCAAATCTAATAGAAAAATAAATTAAATGACTGATAATTGGTCCATTACTACATTAGAATAAGGTTCAAAGAAGAATCTACTTTTTATTTTAAAACTATGATTAATTTGGTTTAAATTTAGAATATAATACTTGTATAATTTCTGAAGATCTATTCCGCAAGTTGATAACAAATAAAGTAATATCAAAACATACAATAAAAACAAACTCATAATTCATAACTTAACCGGTTATGAACCAATAAAAACTTTTACTTAACGTTCACAAGACTCGCCCGGTATAAATTGGAAAATTCCAGTATTCCATTAATATCAAAGCTATTCCGTGAGATATATTGCGAATATTCCATTCGTCGCGGTTTCAATCCACTGAATGAGGTATCAATACCTTTGAACGTCACATATAAGGTAAGGTGACGTCGACGTAAATCTAAAATATACGTTTCTTTTTATGAATCACATTTGCAGGAACGGAGTGTTCGGTTAAGAACCGGAGAGTCGTCTATCGACCGTTTTCAAATTAATTTCCAATAACCTTTAAGGTACCTTTAATCAAAACAAACTAGTTTAGATAGAAGCTATGAAAACTTTTAAAATATTTTTTTATTACATTTACCGAACAAAAAATGATTTTTTTTTCTAAAAATAATCCTCCTTTTCATTTTATTGACAAGAATGTGTTATTCTTCCTACTTTCAGTTAAAAAGTTGTCTTAAATGTCATTGTCATTTAAATATAATGACAGATATTCGTCTATTTCATTTAACAACGTGAACTGGACAGTTCAGTAATAATTTAAAGATGTTATTTCATTTCAGACTTATTCACGCGATGTTTTTATTTAGCTTGTTTCCCAGTTTTCACCAAAAAAATTCTTTACAGGTATTGTGACTGTGAAAATATTTGTAATTATTCTTAATGAAAAAATTTAAAAAACGCCCTAGCACTCTGAAATGGGATTAGAACCCAGGGCCTTTTGCAATCTGGGCTCTCACTGAGCCAGGATCTAACAGGACTGATGAATTTTTCAAGCACTTCTTACTTTTCCGCTACTGCAGAGCGTATTTTTATTAATATTCAGGCAGTCCACCCTAACAGCCGAAAGAAGTATTTTTTACAAATATTTACACTTTTGATAAAGATGAAATTTTGTTGTTTTTATTACAATATCTATACAAGAAAACATTTGAACAATCATGTTTCATTTGTAATTTTATGTTTTCTCCCTCCGATTTCTTCTTTATTAATAACTTAATAAATAGATTATGAGCGCTCTTAATAATAAGAAATGCAAACAGTTAGCATTTCACTCACGAATTCATCCGCGTAAGTTTATTTATTTATGTATTAGAACACCAACAGTTTTTTTCTAAAACTAGATTACACTAAGAATACGAGTATTACATAAAACTAAGAAAATAACAGGTTTTTCTTAAATCATATCAATTCTAGTTGCGTCGTCGATTAATTAAAGTTGAAAAAATTATACCATATGTCTTCCGCGTATCCTGTAACTCTCGTAAGTAAAAGAATTTTTAAAATCTATTCAGTATTTCAGACCCCATTGAATGCAAGTAAACAAAAAAATCATTGGATATCCTTTAATTTTATCATTAAATGATAATTTAATAATTGAAGGGATGATTTTTAAGCATTTTTCATTAAGAATATTTTACAGTATATCGTTTTGAATGCAAAATTGATCAAATACCATAAATCATCAAATAACATAAAATATAGATCATTATTAAATAATATATGCGATAGATATTACTATATTGGTCATATAGAGTGAAGCCCGTAAATTTTCAATGGGCAAGGTAAAGCGAAGCAATGCTTTGAGAACTTGAAAGCAAAGCTGAAAGGTTTGCAACATATCAAAGAGAGTTATTAAATTCGAAATGACTTTTTACTGCCAAAGAAAATCATTTTAAAAGCTACCTGACTTCAATCTTATCTCTATACAGCCAGTTACACAATTGTCCGTTGAAATTCTCATTAATTGTAACGTTACCGATACAAGTTATCAAATTTGAAATATTCATTAGGGCTTAAAACCTTTATGAACCTTAATAGACGTTTGTGCAACTCACCAACAGTGTTCCGATTTTCTATTAAGGCCAATGATGTAATTAATTATCAAACAAAATGGGTAAAGAATTAAGAGTACAAATTAAATATTACATATTTAACAATACTGATACAATAAAGTGGAAAGATTTGATTGTTTTTTTTTTGTTTTAACGGGCTCCGTAACTATTAGACAGATTTTAAAAAATCTTACACTTATGGGAAGCAACATTCCACTTAGGTGACAGATTATGCTATATATACTACGATTACATCGTATACTCATTTAATCTATGACAAGTTAGAACAGCTAGTCGTAGAATAAACGAGTTTATATATTTAAAAGGCTGCCAAGTTTCTTACGCCCATTGTTCTTATAAGCCAAGCAACTGATTAAAGATTTAAAATAAATTTATTTTACTAAAAAGCATTATTTATTTTTATAAATTACGACTTTAAAAAAAATGCACAATACAATCAATGAACTCGATTGTTAACGTGACGGCGACTGGTTATGTACCAGTCGGCCATTGGTTGGGTGACCAAAAATTTTATATCTATTACTACTAGAATTAAAATAGAAATAATGATTTCACCTGCAGCAGCCAGTAACATCGCCTGTGGAATGTGGGTAGTATGGCGGAATGCACGTAGCAACCGTATATGCACTGAAACAATAAAAAATAATTCGTTAAAATAATTATTAATTAATATGAAGGTTTACTTATGAATAGAATAAAGTTAAAATAAACCATTTTGGCGAGAAGTTTTTGCAGTCAGCGCAGGATTATTATATAACTACAAGTTTTAGCTTTCTTCCCATCAAATTATGAATCCGTCGCTCTGTCTTCATCGTTGGCATTAAAATTTATATGGTTCTTTTTAATTCTTAAATTTTTTCTCCAGATACTATGCCTAATAAATAATAAACAAAATTTTTGTGCCTATTTAATTCGCCTCTGATATAGCTTCTAGATTAAATATTTTTTTGAATCGGTCCAGTTTTTCAGAGTCTTTTTAATGCGATTAAACAAACAAACAATCAAATCTTTCCTCTTTATAATATTAGTATAGACAATAAAAAAACATCCTGCACTTCAGTTGATTTTCGAAATAGGGTACCCTAAACAGAAGTCGATTTGCCCAAACGCAATGAACTCGCCGAAGCGATCGCGGCACGGGTCATTGCGGCCATTGCTTAATTGCCCTAGTGATTTCAACTGAGTTATTGGATAGGGTGCGAACTTACTAACTGCTTACTGCTTAACGGTTAATTAGACAGGTAACTGCTTCTCCTTTGTGCAATTACTTATTTACGACTCTCTATTGTATTAGATAAGATGATTCTTTGTATTACACACCCAAAGCGAAGCTTTGTAAGGATGTAAATATATACTTTTGTAGTATTACTGTAGAACTGTAATACTGTAGAAGTACATATTTTAGATTATTTTAATAATATAGATCAAAATCATTTTGAACTCTCACCTCAAGCAACTTATTGAGATATGATGTTTTCCGCGACTTTACCGCGTTTATTATATATGTCACCTGCGTATGATGTTTCCTTAGTTGAAAGAATTTATAAGCTCGGATCAATATGCCCGAGGATAACGCCCTACAAACAAACAAAATTAGCCTCTACCTCTTTATAATATAAGCATAGATTATTGTCACATACAAGTTAGTATTTAGTATTGCGTTAATATCGAGTAGTGTGCACACATTTACAATAAGTTTTATAATAAATATTTATCAAGTTTTTCAAACATTTTTACTGTTAAATGAAATGTACTAAGCTAAAAAAATCATAACAAAAATCTAGTAAAATATATTATATAACTATACGTCTTCACTAAAAACATTTTAAATTGGAAAGATTCACGAAATCTAATTTCAAACAATCACAGAATAACATAATCGTCCAATATTTTGGTTTTGTAGAGAATTGTATAATCTATGGCCTATAAAATCCTAGTTGCCTTCATCTTGTATTTACGATCCTAGAGCACTTTAAAGTATCAGACATTCCGAAGTTAGCAACTGAAATATCTATATTTACAAACTTTTTACAACACAATGTGGATATTTTGTAGTATACAGTGTATTTGTTTTAATTCCCTTCTTCAACTGCGTTTAATAATATAATTCTTTTCAGTGCCCTATTTTTTTCTGAGAGCTTCTCTTTTTTCTTCTTTTTTCTTAGAATCTCTATTCTTTTTAAATTAAAAAGGTACTATTGCGTATGAATTAATACGCAAACGTTTATTATTTTTCAAGTTAATTTTATTTGATTGAACCTTTTTGCTATGTTATAACGTTGTACTCGAGTTTGAGTTCGAAGCTGGATTTTTTAACAGAATAGTACTGCAGAAAGCATGATTTTAAAATGGACATCGTCAAAAATCACATCATACTTCAGTGTAAGCAAAATCTTTGAATCATTTATCGTTCGCAAATCCCGCCTTCTATTTATGAAAGCAGCTTAATATTCTATAGAAACGCAAGCAAACAGAAAATCAAATATTTCCTATAGTATCCTTCACATTTATTTTAATATAATTTTACTGCTACTAGTGAGTTTATATTGCGAAAATTTGAAGTATTTCCTGTTTCGGTAACATTAGCTGCCTTTTTTTTCTTCTAGAGTTTTGGTAATGCATGTAGTATCGCGACGTCGGCACCAATAGAAGTGATAGCACCATCCGACGCGGCTACGTATAGTCTGAATAATACATTTTGCACAACTGGGCCTGTGTAGAAGAGTTAACACGCGCAAAACATAAGCGGTAGCGTTTTTTGATAAATATTGTATAAAACTCTATAAATAAAAAATAAATATTATTAAAAATATTTATTTTTCTCTGGTGGATTGCCGGAATATCGATGAAAAATACACTCACTAGTTGCGGGCATCAACAAGTGCTTGAAAAGTTTGTTAGTCTTGTTGGGTCTCAGGAAGCTCAATGGTTAGAGCAGTCGCCCCGATTACGAAAATTGTGTGTTCGAGTCACACTACAGTTTTCATTAAAGATATCAGTATAACATTATGAATGCAAAATTGATAAAATTTAATATGTAATACTACTCAAGATCTCGCAATATCTATCAAAGAAAGGTTTTTGAAGTTTCATATTTAATTTTGGTACGAGTATGTTCGTTAAACTTTCTTGTTTACATAACTTTTTTCTCCACTGAAAATATTTAAAAATAAGGTATCAGTTTAAAGCATTTGTGTCTTTTATTGAAAGTATTTTATTTATTTGAGAAATGAATGTGATAGCATTTTGTAATAATTGTATTGGTTTGTGAAAAGTCACTAATTAAAGAATTACAAAGTGGTGCTTGTATTTTTCCATAATACATTTATAAATATGTCATTTGATGGGCAAACTGAAGGTGAAACACGATTATGAAAATATTATAATACTATATCTTTCAAAGACAACATACTTTACTGCATAGTCCTTTAATCTTTTAACCATTTGCATATTAAACTACACAAATCCGTTCATCGCTCATCACTTAGACCAGCGTTTGATCCCAGGGGCTGTGTAACCTCGTTACTACAGGTGCCAATTCCGAGTTACCTTTGTGTATGCCCACTACTTTAGAAACACCAGTACAGCTTGAGTTAGTTTTCAAGATAAAAGGGGAGTAATTGAATCTTTGTTTAAAATAGTTTTTAATAAAAAATAAAAACCAAAATCACTAAGCACTAAAAAGGTCAAACTTGGAATATGCGATTAATTTGATTTCTGTCGCTCTGGTGTTCTATTATCTATATCTTCACGTCGATTCCTTGGCGGGGTGGACAGAGAGGACTAAACGCCACACTATACGGTCCTTACATACGTCTTGCGCCTCATCCACTTTTATTACTCCTTTCAAGTATACTCGCCGGTTTTTATGGCTTCTGACATAACGCACAACACACCTTTTACAATCAAATCAATTGAGAGCACGCAATTGATTTGATCGTGGAAGGTGTGTCGTGGCCTTTCTCGGCTTCTGCGTTGCGTCCTTTACGTTTTATATCACTTTTATCTCGATTTTTGAATACTACTAAAAAATTTTTACTGAGTTAATATCAAAAGGCATCACTACTACTTCTGTCGCCTTCCCTTCCTTCTAAGCCTTCTAATGTCACTGTAATTGCGGGCACAGGTTTTTCTTATGGAAACAATAATTACTATATCCAATCCCGATTACAGAAAAGGCGCCAATTCTAGCTCAGTTTGTACTTGGGTTTTATTCACTTATTTATTTCAATTCTATTGCTTACAAAATTGTATAATTGACTGACTTAATTCGCTAACGCATTCCGTATCAGTCAATCGGAAAACTAGATTCAGATATTATGTAAAATTGAATAGTGGCACATAGTGAACAAATAAATTATTTTTATGTTTTTTTTTTAAATAATTATTACAATTATTTTACAGGCTAGATACCATAGACATACTGAATGGAGATAGAATACAATAATAAAGGGTAGTCCGTTTGAACTTAGCCAGACCACAGACTAATCTACTCAAGTTTTGTCCATTCATCGTAAGTAACAAGTGCATGAAACAGCCTCATAAATTCAAACCAACACTTATCGAATTGAAATACAATTCAATTTTCTAGAAAATTTCCATTACTATTATGTTTAGTAAAACTGAGTCGTGTTGAAACGAAGAAAACTGATTTTGTTTAAAAGGACCATATTATAATTATATGCAATCGGGTCTTGTTCGTGCATTTTTTAAAACAATTAATTTACCTCGACGTTTCGGCTACGTTACAGCAGCCGTGGTCACGAGGAGACTGGAGAACTGGCGGGTGTCGTCTTCTGATTTTAGTTGAGGGTAATCCGGTAATAATGTTTTTAACTGATTTTCAGATGTACCCTCCACTTGATTTTATTATACGTAAAGGTGGCGACACACTGCACTTACGGTATCCGAGAATATTGTTCGTGGTTGTTTGCGATCGCGACACTTATACATTTTTATAACCGGATTCCACGTTGGTGAGAGTTTATATCCACTTTCCCGGTTGAAATTGTTGTGTTTTTTGATTTCAACCGCTTCACGAACAATCCTTGGATAGTAATGTCGTTCAGTGGAAAAGACATGAGGTGTATGTAACTCGATCCAGTGGTTTGATCCAGATGATAATAAGTGCTCTGCAATCGCGGACTTCTCCACTTGACGATTTTTGACCGCTGCTATGTGTTCTCTTACACGTTCGGCGATAGTCCGCTTCGTTTGTCCGATATATGAACTACCGCAGCTGCAGTCAATTTTATAAACGCCAGGTTTTTGGTAAGGAATACTATCCTTTGGTGATCGCAATTGGTGTGACATTTTTGATAAAGGAGTAAAAATGGTGTCTATAGAAAAATTTTTCCTCAAAATGGAATCGATTTTGTCCGTTACTCCCTTAACATAGCCTAAAAATGCCCGTTGCCTGGGAACCTTAGGTAGTCTTTCCTTACACCTTCGGATAGGGTATGACCTCTGCATATAATTATAATGTATACAAATCGTGTGAGTTTAAAAATATTAAGGACCATATTGTTTCTTTTATCTATACTTCGGGACGAAAAGGCTGTGTGTGTGTGTAATACCTGCGGCTACTCAATGAATTAAATCAACCAAATTTGATTTAATACTCTAAG